TTCACGGAGCCCCACGAGATCCAGCAGCCGCTGGTGGTCATCGGCGTGGGGGTGGCGGGACTCATCATCAACCTGCTGGGGCTCTGCCTCTTCAACCACCACGGTGTTGGGGGCCACGGCCATTCCCACGGCCACGGGCACTCGCACAGTGGCAGGCAGCACCCCCGCAGTGGCCCCAAGGCCGAGCAGCCGCCCGGGGACGGGGAGGCTGCGCTGCACCGGGAGGAGACCAGCACCTTAGTGGAGAACTGCAGCAGCTCCAACGGAGTCAGCCAGGAGAAGCTAGGTAAGCCCTGCAGTGCCTCTGCCCCATCCCAGCACGGAAGTGCCAGGAGAGCGGGAGAGGTCCCTTCCCTGACCGGGGTGGTGGGCATCCTGGTCCCACCTGGTGCGGGCTTCGTGGGAACCACCTGTCCTTCCTCCTGGGGAATAGGCAAGAAACTTTCTTGGCGGTGCTCTCGGGCACACAGCTGTTACACCTCTACCTCACACCTTTCCTTCAGGTGCTAAAAGGAGTGCCCTGGGTTGTGTGTTTGTCTTGCAGACAGGTCAGAGTGTGAAAGAGTCTTAGGGTAAAGCAGTTTGCCTTGGAAAAAGTTGGTGCTGGTAGAGAAAGCACATGACAAGTGTTTTTTGCCTAGCGACACAAGCTGTCACAAGACGTTGCCCTAATGCCATCTGAACTGGCTGCACATCAAATAGAGCGCAGCTCAACACCTTGGTCCTGACAGCCGGATCTCTCCATTGGGTCAGTTATTAGCTACCTGAGAAGCTAATCTCAATCTGAACGTAACGTACTAAAGTATATTCTGTTGCCATAATGTTGTATTTCTTTGTGACATATGTATTAATAGGAAGAAGTCCTGGAAGTTACCAGTCAGAACTGTGGAAGTCATGCAATAGGCACTGAATGTGGAGCTCACTGGTTTCAGAGTACATGCGTGGTTCTTTGAATTAATTTTCTTTACCTTTCTAAAGCATGCACCTTCCCACTCACTTGCACATAAGAGATAAATTTAAAATCTTCCCTTCCCGATTGTGATCAAAGTGTCTGTTTTGTGGGAGGGAATTTCTTGGGTTTTTTTTTTAACGGATCCAGAAGCCTGGATAGTTTATTTTGAAGTCACTTGGTCAAAACCAAGTACTGCGTGCTAGCAGAGTGAAAGGTGCATAATTGCCACTTCTCTAATCATATGGCATCCCCGTTACCAGGAGGAAGGGGTTTCAGTCTTCAGAACCCATGTCTCTCCTTCATTTTCAGGGCAACACCAGGAGACCACTGTTTTAGCTTAAACTGAGCTTTAGTTGAGCAGAGTGAACTTTGCTACAGTTTCGGTTTGTCTGTGGTCAGAGGTTCCAATACACATTTGAGAAACTTAGCAGTCTCTCTCTCTCTCTCTCTCTCTCTCTTTTCTTCTTCTTTAGTGTTTTGACTCCATGTTGGTTTTGAAAAGACAGGTTTTGCAAGAGGATAGGAAAGTTCCTCTGAATATATTACACCATTTGCTTGACCGCATAATAAGCTCTTAATGTTGGGTTAGTTCCAACAAAGGTATCCTAATAATTAGTTTCAAACAATGTAAAATTCTCCTAACCGTTGATCTAATAGATATCTTGGCTTGTGAATTGTTCTTGCATGGTGAAACTTATGTTGTGCTTTTAGCCAAGTTTTGGACTAGTTCTAGACTAAAAGATTAACTTATAGCATGGATTAAAACATATGCTGTTTTGAGCTAACTTGTCTGGAATTTCTCATGGATGTCCTTCTGGCCATAACAAATAATTTGTTGTGGGTATTTAGGTAGTAATAGGGCATAATTTTGGTCACAGTGAAACTTTGAAATAAGTTTGTATTTCCTTCTATGCCCTGTCATGATTATGTAATGGATGGACTTATTCATAGTTTACCCATGGAAATATTACAGGTAAAGGTGCTTGGAGACTTGTGAGAAGCTGTAAGAGGTGTAGGTGAAGGCTAGGGAAATGACTGAGAGTGATACTGTAACTTGGTTGGAAATTACAAAGAGGGGTAGACCCCAATTTCCTAAGGTGGAAGTGGAAAGCTAGTGATAGCCTTAGGCTTAGATAGTCCTGCACAGGTATCTTTATGCATACACTTTATGTGAAGTAATCAGTTTATAGTTGGATTTAAATGAGCATAGTTCAAATGGACACGGTTTAACCTTTTGCCATTAAAAAAAATCTCAAGAGCTTTCTGGAACCGTGTTTCCTGTTATCCACCCTTACAGATAGGTCTACTGACTTTTCAAATTTCCTTTGCTCCAAGTACTTGGTACGCAGCTGAGTGTTCCTCTTTCCTTGCTCTCGTCATGGACCCTGAGGTCTGAACTCTGTAACCTGAGATATTTTCCTCTAATTCATTGATTTCTCTTGAAAGTTACAGGTCCCATATTCCGTAACTCCTAGAGGTTGTGTGGAAAATGTAGCTGGAACTTTAGGACAGAAGTGTGATGCACGAGGTTGTGAGCCTGGGGCTAGGAACTCACCCGCTGAGCTGCCTTTGTAGGAGCCCGCCCCTTCTTCAGAGAGGAAAGAACTTGTAGACACTTTATGATTACAGAATCACAGTCATGAGAGCAGAGTGGCAGAAGCTGCAGGTCTTACTAACGTGTTAATGTTTACAAAGCTCTGAACTGAATAACCACAGAAGCAGTAAGAGCTCCTTGTTTCAGTTTGTCAGGCCAGTGGCCAGTGCTTGTTACATTTCTTTAACACTGGAAGTCTTCTGTCCAAAGAAGAACTTTTGAAGAGAAGTAGGAGGTTAATCATGTAAAACACTTTGAATTTTGAACCCTGGCAGATGTTTTTCTTTCAAAAAACATTCTTCTTTGTAATGATGTGTGCATTTATTCCTATATAGCTAGTTAGGTGTGATGGAGTGGTAATATCGCAGACAGTTTTGATGAAGAAGGGCACTAAAATGTTCATTTATGTATTACACAGTCCATGCCATATGGCTTTGGGCATCAACAGCTATATGTCACTTAAAAAATGTTTTTTTAGTACTTTTTTTAAATGTATTTTGAAATATAAATAACACTAGTTCATAGCCTCTGAGAGCTTCAGTGATAACTTACACTGTCCTGTAGTCAATACTGCTGATAAATTCTGCGGTTTAGACCTAAAAGTCAGCTCATTGTATCTCACAGTTCTCCTGGCTCCATGCGCCATCTCAGAAAAACTTCCTCTTCCTTGAATTCAGAAGTCTTTTGGAAATGTACTACTAAACCTGAGAAGAAGTTACTGTAAAGCAATATCCATACAGCTTTTGAGTTTCTGGCCGCCTAAATTTTAATATAAAATAGCAATACAGTCATATGGTTTAAGAGAGATTTTAGCAATGTGATTAGCCGCCTGGCTTTTCAAAAGAGGGAACAAATGTAAGTTACTTAGCTACTTAACCAGCTTTTTTATATATGCTCTGTAATTCTGCATTTTGTTTAAGAAATGAACAGTGAGTAGTCAAATGGTTAAAGAGCTGGAAAACGTGAAAACGGTGTGAATTAAAATGCGGTCATCTTCATACTTTGCCACTCTGCACCTTTAAGCTCCATGTAGAAACAATTGCCTTCTAGACCATTTAGATCAATTATTGGGACAACTGAATATTTCTCAGCCAGAGAAAATGTTGCTAAGTGTTATGGGTAGAGTTGCTTGCTTTTCAGTTTCGTACGCAATGTGGCAAGTTTAGTGTTGGTTATTATTTTATATGGAATTATAGTAATGTAATATAATGTCTTATAGCATATGCCTAATAGTTTTACTGTTTTCTTGTCAGGTGATATGAAAGACGACATGACTGACCTACAAGTGAATGGGAATGCTGGTCATTATCCTCTGGATGTGGAGGAGGTTGAAGAAGACTCTAGCGCACAGCTTAACATGCGTGGAGTTTTTCTGCATGTTTTTGGAGATGCCTTAGGTTCAGTAATCGTGGTAGTGAATGCCTTGCTCTTTTATGGGTTGTGGAATCCATGCCCCAAAGATGGGCCCTGCTTTAATCCATGCGTCAGTAATCATTGCATGGAAAATGCTACTTTATCCCAAACACTTGGCAGAGCAAACGGGTCTGAGCAAGAGAGCATTACAGTGGCTGGTCCATGCTGGTTGCTATATTTAGATCCCATCCTTTGTTTGATGATGGTTTGTATACTCCTTTACACAACTTACCCGTTACTTAGGGAGTCGGCCCTTATACTTCTACAGACTGTTCCCAAACAAATAGATGTTCATTCTTTGAACTCAAAATTACGTACCCTTGAAGGAGTTGAAGCAGTCCATGAATTACACATTTGGCAGCTAGCAGGCAGTAGGATCATTGGCACTGCTCACATAAAGTGTCCTGACCCTTCCACATACATGATGGTGGCAAAGCGCATAAAAGAGATCTTTCATGACGAAGGGATTCATGCAACTACCATTCAGCCTGAGTTTGCCAGCGTTGGCTCTGAATCGGGGAGAGGGAAATGTGAGTTTCCTTGCAGGACTCAGTGTGCTTTGAAGCAGTGTTGCGGAACAGGAGAAGATAGTACTGCAAAGAAGACAGAAAAATCTTCGTCAGTTAGTATTTCTTGTTCAGAAGTTGTCACTGAATTTCCGAAAACTAGGAGGACTAAGTCGGAGAGCATCCCTTCAGTTAAGCTAGAGGCAAACACCGATCAAAATGAGCAGTTTGAATCATCTTTGTAACTCCCCGAATGGTGCTACCTGAGTTTTGGTGACTTTGACAACAGCTATATTGCAAGAGGAAGAGACAGATGTTTGAGATGCAATTTTGCCAAGTAGTGTAATTGCTGAAGTCCTCGTTCTTGTCATACTGCTAAATCTAGAATGCTTGTTTTAAAGAACATAATGTCACTATCATGATACAATGTGTTTGTGTTGACTTTGTACTGAGACAGAAAGTGCACCAATGCTGTAACAACTTCAGAAAACCAGTTTCAACATTTCAGCGGAGACACTTATTGCTGTGCTTCACATTAAAATATTTTTTCCAGTGAAAAGGTATTTGAGGGATAAGCATGTAGGAACTCAATTTGTGTTACATATATCTTGGACCTACTCTTTCATTTAATATTTGATTTGTTGTAGATATTTTAATATATTGTTTATTTAGAAGCCCTAAGGAAACCAAAGTTCATAAAACGTTTTTAAAGATATAACTACTTAAAACTGGAAACCACTTTGCAGTTTCACATATTTTTCTTAAATCTATATAATAATAAATGTGAAGACTTTTCTATTGAATTTATCATATAGCGTATTTTAAAGAGAACATCGTGATTGTTAGAAGCTGTCCCCACTTTTTCTGGTAAGGTAGCGAGGTAATTAAAATCAACTGCTTGTGAAAATATCAGATATGAAAGGGTTTTTTTCTATCAGAATAGAAGTTCAAGCTACTGTATACTGACCGATAAAGTAACGGATACTTTCATTTATGATGGATTTTCTGGTGTTTTTCCTTGTTCCAAGTAGTGTCTGGTCGTAAAAGTCTTTGAAGTTTAAAGAATCCTTGACTCACAGTGCTATGAATGAAGAGCTGGAGCTTCATTTTTAACTGATTCTCAGTTTACTAAGATAAAAGAATTAGTTATGTCAATAAGTGCTCTGTCGGGGAAGGTCTGCCAAGCACTGACAGTATAATTCATGCTTTTGAGCACAGACAGTAGTCTCCGTAACAAGTAATTCAGTGGTACATTTTGCTTGTAGTTGAGTGTGTCTGTAAGCACTTGCTGACTGCAGTCCTGGTCCCCGTGGTGTCCTCAGGAACCTTCTGCTGACTTTTGAGGAAGTGGGGCAGGGAGTAGGATTTCATTCACTGTATTTCACACTTTGAGATGTTTATGTATCACGTAATTTCACTTACTAAGTATCCGAGTCTGTGGTTTAAAATGTTAACTCAGTTAATTGACAACTGGCTCTAAAGAAGCTGTTACAGTATGCTGCCAACTTACACCTTAATAAAGGAGAAACTGGTCTATGGACTCTGAATTTGGCAGAGACTAGATGAGAGTTGAAGATAAAACATACAAGAAATCTAATCTAAAACTCTGACCCTTTCAATCCACCCTCAAGTTATGTCTGGGAAATAATTTCTGGTGATTTAATTGACTGCTCCTATGCTCAAAACTGGAAAACGACTCAGATCTTCCATTGTTTGCTCTATGACTCTGGACATGACAAACACTCTGCCTCAGTTTCCCTGTCTTAGAATGGGGATAATACCTACCTCACAGGGGTGTTGTGAGGCTTAACTCTTGTGTGGAGAGCTCCGAGATCTGTTACTGGAGGGCACTGGAAGGAGTATAAGATACTAAATTACATGGTATTTACTCCATCTACAAATGTGTTGCAATACCTAGGCACAACAGAGGGAACTGAGGATAGTTTTGGCCTTAGGAAATTCTTTGATGCTGTGGTTTTCAGGTTTTTAACAGTATTTAAATGTAGATTTTTTTTTTTTTTTTTTTAAAAAGAATGTTTTGTTAGTGAAGGGAATGTAGCTTTGCCTCTGGATCCAGAACACCTCGCTAGTTTGCATTCTAGTATGTGTCTCGTATGATAATTGCTCTTAAGTAGTTCAAAATAGTCTGCTGCTCATCGGACCTGGATTGGCCCAGGTCGTGTCAGTGGTCTTACCCAACTTCTCAGCAGAGCACTGCAGTCAACTCTCGATTATCCATGGGTGGATTACCAGTGTTGTATACTAACTGTGCAGTCTACAGGGCCAGACTAGCTCTGTATCGCATGCCGATGCGTTGGCCAAATGCTATGCACCAAAGCGTTGGAAAAGTAAAGGAGCTCGGGCCAGCTGCGCACGAGCCCACTCCCACAGGGTTTGTTAGCTTGGGTGCAGCGCGGCACCATGCGGTTATTTTGCCTCTTGGCTGCTCAGACGTGTCCGCAGGAAGCTGCGGTGTGCGGATGGGCAGGTTCAGCTTTGCGCTAGCTTGGGGATGTTGATGCTTCGCAGCCATCAGCATCGCTCACCTTTTTCTGTGTTTATGCTTGTTGTATAGTCTCATCAACTAACTTAAGTATGTTAATATAGTATTTATGTATGGTTTTGTTTTGTCTGAATTATCTTAACTTTCTCCTGTTACCTGTATATGATCTAGAGTTGACTGTTAAATGAGATCTTGTATGAGACTACATTTGCAAAATATGCTATCACTGCTAGTATACTACAAAGTATTAACCAAGTAAATTTTGAAATGAACAAAGTACTATTTTTTTTGGAAATGTGTATCCTTGCTTTTTATGGTAAACTTTCACTAATTATTTTGCTCGCTAGTTTAAAATTGGTCTCAGTCATTAGTATTAATTATTGAGGTCCTGCTGTATATCACTAATGCACCCTAGAACTACTGCTCTTCAGTTTATTTAAAAAAAACAAAACAAAACAAAACAAAAACCAAGACAAACCATAGTAGCACTGAGAAGCCTGACTTCTCTCCTGTTGCTCTTATAAAAAGAGAGCGACTATTAAGTCTTGACAGTTGCCACCATTGGTTAACGGTCTCAGTAAATGCATCTGAATAGATGGAGTTGTAGTCACTAATTCCATTGTAACTATTTAATCTTTTTTTTGTGTGCCAGAAGTCATATTTTTCTATTTCTGTGTCCATTGCAGGCAATGGCTAGCTTAAAAGACAAAAAGCTCTCCCCCACGTTATTTTATTACTAGGACAGGGTGCGGATGTGACGATGATGATGGTGGGGGCAGAAGGGGGAGTTGTGTGGCCTCTTTCATGTGCCGTGTTGCACGTGCAGCACCAGCTGGTGTTAACGGGGCACTTCAGTCTCTTCAGCCCTCGATAGTCAATTCCCTGAAAGCATATAGTCAGGTCAAGGTGGTGGTTGTACAGCAGCAGGAACGCAACTTTTGTATTTGTTCTGGCTGTATGAGACCCGACTGTAGCCTGCTTGCTTGTGATATTGCTTGATTTTTGTTTTAACGTGATCTGTCTGTGGTTACACAGACTCGGTTTGTTCTGAAGATCACAGTTCCAGAATACTGGGAGCATTCAAAAACACTGCACAGTCTCTTTTTTTTTTTTTTCCAGAAAGCATGAAACTAGTGAATCTCATGTAAGTGAACACTGCAGTGGTGGGGAGCTGATTGTATTGTGTATCACATTCCTGAATTTTTAAAATAAAAAAAAAAAATGGAACACTGATTTTAAGGAAAAATACATTTGTATTTCAGTGTCTAGACTGTTTATGCTTCTGATTATGTGTGTCAGAGATGTACCAAACATCACTGGGTGAAATACTCTACACTTAGTACATGTCTCATCCAGAAACAAGCTATTTTAGAATCACTTCTTAGATTGTATCTGCACCTAAGGGTGCAGTGCAGAACTAATTCAGACACTCAGTGGGCTAGCCACAGTACCGTGAAGCTTTACTTTTTAGCAAAGCTTCTGTAGAAACCCTTACCATTTTAGCTCGATCACTTTCAACATCCGCTCTGGGCTTTTGGTAATATCTGTTATTGCTGCATCATGGTATTCAGTATGGACATACACATAGTTATGTAAAAGACAAAACTCGCCCCAACTTGTGACTCTCCAAAAGTCATGGCAAGGGCTCAGTCCTGTAAATTTCTGTATTCGCAAAGAGTTTCATCAGGCTGACGAGTAGTTACTTGCATGCAAGGAATTACTTGTGGGAGTGAGTCCAAAACTTCTGCCAGTACAGCCTGACTTTTGAAGAATCACTGAAAGTACCTAGATTTTATGGATGTATTAAAATCAGGAGTACTGTGGTGTTTCCAAATTTGCTGCAGAAATCTTATCAGTTTGTTATAATTCCAGGATTTATTACTTTTCCCCATTCTCCAAAAAGAAGGGAAAAAAGCCCACTGAGCATCCTAAGACTTGTTAACAAGTTTAGCTGAACTGGCATTGCTGTTTGCTTCTGAAATTGGGCCATCTGAATTTATTAAACACTGCCTAGTGGATTTTGGGGAGGAGGGATAAAGATTCTTGCCATTCTCCTTCCCCTGCCTCCTGCCTTGACTGCACTTTCTAATCTCTTCAGCTATGGAGAGACCAGGGGGGACAGAGGGGGTGAATTTTGTAGCTAGATGTTCCGAGTTCCACATGGAGGGAATGGGAAATACTGCTAACTATATTTAAAAGCGTATAAATATGCTCTGACTATTTTAGTTTCATAGCATAGCATCAGTTACGCCCTTTTTAGGTATGCATTTAAGTTGTTCAGCTCTGTAGTAACTTTGGTTTTTTTCTTTCTCTGCTGGATGGAAAGAGGTGGATGCTCCATTTGCCTGAGCTAAAGCCAGTCTTGACAATTTTCCAAATCAAACGTAGCTTTGCTGATAACAGGAGGTCTGATTATTCCTTATGACCTTTGGTTTGTGTGGTTAGCTGCCTGTGAAGTACCGTACCGTGCTTTAGCAGGCTCACATTTATATCTTTTTGCATTCACCATGTTATCTAAGTAGTTGAAGAGTAAAACCACGATACTGAAAAATACCTTTTATCTATGTCTCCAAAAAGCACATGGGATTAATTTGGCTTCTTTTTTTTTCATGTCCTGGATTCTGTTTCTGAGCAATGTTAAAATATAATTGGTGTAGCTAGTGTTCATTGATGATATTTTGTTTTGTCTTCTTTTAAAATAAATAATGATGTTGGTTTGTTGGGTGGTTTTTTTTTTTTTTAATTAAGTATTAAAGCCCTCAGAAAGTAAATGGAGCTGTTGAATTTCAAATACTTTCAGTTGGGATTTCTTTCTCAGGTCAGTTCCTAGGAAGAAATTTGACTAGTAGAAATGCACTTTTACCATCTCCCTGAAACTCAGAAACAAGTACGAAAAGCACAAGTAGAAGAGGAGGTTAATAAATGGCTTCCAAAGTGATGGCCTCCAACTGTCTGGATTCCAGGTGCAATTAAAAAAATAGTTGCTCAGTTTTAGTATCATGTGAGGAGTTAATTATGCAAAATGCATTTTTTTTCCCTGCATTTTTTTTCCTAAGAAAAACAGCCTTTGAAAAGAATAAAAAGATCTTCCTGTCCTGTTAATAGGCTGTGGTTAAGTATCTAACATGCGGGTCAATAAGGTAGGCTTCCTAATAGAAGTTTGTACCATTTTATTTAATGTCTTTGGAAGACAGCTACTTTAGAGCAGAAGACACTTTGGTGTTTTTCAGCTTCATTTGTTTCAATTCAGGAAAACTGCAGTTTGTAAAGTTTGTTGGGAGAAAAGTACTGACTGCAGAAAAAGATACAGCTGCCAGCAATAACACTGAGGAGGGCAGGATTGTTATTAATACCTGCCTTGAGCTGTTCATGAGCTTGCAAGGATGAGTTCATTTTGGAGCCCTTCACCGGTGCAGCTTCAGCAGCTGCTTTTTTCTCCTTCAAGAGGGAAAAGT